GATTCAATAGAAATTTTACATTTTTATGTAGTTGAATCTGTTAATATTTTGTTTTGTTATTTCTTTTAAAAAGAAACCTTTCAAAACATTAGAATTACCAATATTTTACATACCAAGAAAGCCATATGATGTGACTGCTTACTAGGTCTTGACCTTATGGAGAGTAAGTTGAAAAGACTGCGTTTAAAAGTGCTCGGGGATGGAGTGTGAAGCAGAAATGTCAACAACAGTGCCTTTATGTGCAGTCACACACTGTGAGCGGTTTTAATAAGATAATTGTCTTGCCTCCCTTTTGCTGTGTCATGTGATTCTCCAATTTCTTTTGTGCTTAATAGGGTGGCTCTTTTCTAGGAGCTAGTACAAGGTGCAAGAGGTTGACTCAAAGTAGAACTGGAACTTTCCTTAATCTGACATTAACAGTTCTTTTGGGAAGAAGAAAAGGAGGGGCATTAAAAAAACTATGAAATAAGACACGACTGCATCATTTATTTTGAGTGCTATTATTTATTTGAGTTAATAGGAATCACCACAGGAACATCATCTTTTTGTGTAGTTTTGCCTTAGATTTTGAATTAATAGCAAAAAGGTGAAATCTTTTAATCCATTTGTTGAACTTGGACATGAGACCGTTAGACCCAGAGGTCATGGGAGCATTTTCTTCTCTGCCTGTAAGCCACCTACCCATGGACATGGAGCAATAGAACTTTTCCATACGAGCTACTTACTATTTAGAGCCAGTTTCATTATAAAGCACAATACATTGTAGCCAGGGCCCTGCTCATCTCCGTCTTTGCCAAAGGAATGTGATAATGATATTGATGATATCTACTGCAGAATTGAAGTGTTTTAGAAATATCATTTTTTTCTTCTTCTTGGGATAGATACCTATTTTAGATCTGCATATTTTATTTACTGAAGATTTAACAATATTTCACATTTTCTTCCAGTCTTCACAGAAAAATACTGCACTGCTAACCATGTGGATAAACTTCCTGGCCCAAGAGACTGGGTACAGATTCTACAGGATCAAATTAAACTGGCCAGAAGAAGGTTAAAAAGAGGTTCAGGTATGAATTGGCTATAAGAAAGTAATTGCAGAAGCACATTACTGAACACTTAGACTTTGGAAAGTATGATACTCTGCTCTAGGGTATTTCAGTGTCTTTTGTCTTTTAACGGAGAAGCTCTACATAATGTGCTATGGTTTGATGTTTTAAAGTCTTAGTCAAATGAATTTTGAAATTCTCCTTAAGATTAACCAGTAAAAATGATATCAGACTGTTTGCTTTTAACAGTACAAACAAAAGTGATTGCTAATCTCATTTGTGGTTTTATGTGTCTCATGCATGAAACTAGGTCTTTCTTTTACAGTTTGCTCCTATTCACCTGTTAATTTTTGTTTATTTGGATCTGCATGACTTCATAAAAGTACTAGTTGCTTAAGGTAAAAACAATAATCATCAGCTAGAAACACCACATGAAACAAAAGGAGGTTTTAAGTCAAATATATGTATATTTTTAAATTTGGGATTGTAGTTTCTAGAATTATTCTTCCAGGAAAAATGAACATCAAGCAATTCAGCACCAGTTGAATTGTAACTATTAGATTTGGTGATTTGAAGTCACAGTCCCCAGAAAGGGACAGTGGGCAAATTTACCAGTAAACAGTTCTTTTGAGGTCAGTGTTCTCCCATCATATAAGAATAATCCTCTCCAGGAGACCACAAACTTCTTAATATTGTTTAAAATAAAAATCCAAATCAACCACAAGGACACCTAGTCTGATAAAAGCCTTCTGTGCTTTGAGCGTGAGAAGCAATTTGGGAGATGTACTTTAGATGCTGAAATGTTAACAGTTTTAGAATGTTATGGAGGTTTATCAGAACAGTGGTTCAAAACGCATGAGACTGTGTCTCTAAAAAGATCCTTTTTATATGAAATCTCACAATGTGTAGTATGTATTCTTTGGTCATGCCCATGGAGGAGTAAAACTAACGGATCCTGGGAACTCTGTTCAGAGGGCCCCTTCTGGCACATGCTGGCAATGTCTTTGACTAGACAAGATATGCAGGAACCAAAGGGCAAAGTGGTTTTTCAGTGTGAAGACGTTGCAACTCTTTATTATAAAAGGATCCCTGGTGGTGCAGTGGTTAAGAGCTCGGCTGCAAACCAAAAGGTCCACAGTTCGAATCTACGAGCCACTCCTTGGAGACCCTTTGGAGCAGTTCTACTGTGTCCTGTGTGATTGCTTTGAGTCAGAATAGACTTGACAGCAACAGGTTTGTTTTGTTTTATTTTGTTTTGTTTTATTAGGGTTCTAAAATATTCATCCCTAGATGATTTCTTTAAATTTGCTTAAAGATATTCCCTCCCCTTCCTCTACTTTTGTTTTTAATTTTATACTTAATTGATACTCTTTTTATAAAAAAGCAATAGATTATTAATATCTTTAATTGGCAAAAAAATGCTTTCTTGCATTAGGTAATATGACATAGTAGAGTCAGAAGACCTAGTTTTGAAGTCTCACCTCTGCTTTTCGCCCACTCCAGACCTGGGACAAATCACCCAATCTCTCTGATCCTCAGTTTCCTTACCATTAAGTGCATGTTAAACTAAAACCAGCCTCAGAGTTGTTGTGGGGATCAAGGGATATGTTGTACATGAGTGTACTTTATAAATGAAACTAAATACATGGGCAGCCATGTTTGAGAGCTATGGAGATCATTGAGGTAAACGTGCTACGTTTGTACCTCTCTTATATCCTGAGTCAGGGGACCAAATGTCCTGGTTTGCCTGGCAATCCTGCTTCACTTTTATTGTCCCGGCATAATTATTAAGAGTACCCCTTTCACTCTCAAAGCTTTTCAGGTTTGGATAATAAATTGT